ATACATCTCCCTCACAAAAGTTAACAGAGACTCATAATGCAAGAGATGATAATAATAAAAAGACTCCCTCGGACAGGGATCGAACCAGTGACCTCGGGATTACGTAATGATTACATTTCCAATTTCCAATTACAGTCCCACGCTCTTCCAACTGAGCTACCAAGGGTCGATAACTGAGGCAAGGTGCACAGTTATATCATTTCAGTAGTCATATGCACCAACCGGTGACTTCACAAAGAGACCTTACTTGTCAGCAAATCACCTGTATATAGTCTCATTAGATGTGTATTGATGCGCATTTGCATAGCCCAGCAGAGTAAGAAACAATGGGAAAGGGGGCGGGAGCCGAACAGGAGTGGGGTCATCGTGCTCAAACCGAGTTTCCGGGCTTGGTTCAAGTACAAGCGCTGACCGGCCTTTGACCAGACCCAAGGTTTATGAGCCCCCTAGGCTTCAAAAATGCGTAAAACGATTGAATCTTTCGGGCAAGCACTGCTGTTTAGCATAGAATTGAGATATAACATGTCTAAATTTTTTCAAATCACGGAGATTCAGAGAATCTTTCACCGAGCCCTTGTCCGGGCTTTGACCAGACCCTTAGCCGGACTCACAGCCACCGGAATGACCGATCGTGACAAAGTTGTTGCGTGTGATTGGCTCGTTGCCATTGAGTTCCCAACCACTCACTCAAGTTCGGTTTCAAGGTCTAGCCAAGGTATCCTCGTGAGTCCAAGATTAATTGCTAAATAAATTTACATGAAAAGCGAACGGAAATGACAATGTGTGTACTAAACATCTCAAACAGGATCACCACCCCGGGCGTGTCGACGCACACAGAAGAGTGCCGCATATCTCGGAACATCCTTCAATGCAGGATTAGCCTCGAAGTGTCTAATAATGCTCTCGATTAGCTCGGCCTTTTTGAGTCCCACAAACGGGAGCGCCAGAGAGGCTGCCAAATCCCCGAGCTGCTCGAGATTTGCGGTCTTGTAGCTGTTAAGTGTGCCTTTAAACTCGTACGTCGCATCGATCATCATTTTGCTTCGCCTGGCCTCCGTCTCTCTCGCACGATCCGCCTTTTCCTGCAATCTCTGTGTATCCTCTGCTTGCTTTGCCTCGACCTCAGCAACATCCCGCTCGTACTGCTCCTGTGATTCTGGACCGGTAAGAAGCCCGTGCTTCTGTAACTTGGTCGCGCTCGCCCTCTCTTGTCGGCTACGCTTAGGCGCCGCATTTGCCTGGATTTGACGGCGTTGCTGCTCGCTCTCGTGCACTAAGAGTGTTGCGTGTGCCTTGCACGCCTCCAAATCACTCCAGCACTGTGTGTACAACTCCCACACGTGCTGAAGGTCGTTTTCGAGCCCCGAGACCTGCTGTTTGAGTGGGAACCCTCGCCAATCGCGTATGTGTTGGTGGCGAAGTGGAGCAGGCTTGAACTGCATAACAGGAACTTGGGGTGGGAGCGACGGTAGAGGACCGGGCGTAGGAGAGCGGCTGGAATTAGGCGAGTCGGGGGGTAGATTTGCAGGTGCTTCGGAGTTGGGGTAGGTAGTAGTGGGTAGCAGCCCGGCGTTAGTAGGCGATTGGTGAGTGGGGGCGTCTTCGCTTGCTGCGTCTAGGTGTTGAGGTGCATCATTGGCATCTGTAATGCTTGCGGCCTCAGTTTCCGTAGAGGTATGGGCGTGGTGTGGCAACTCCAAACCCCCCACATCTACTGACGTAGACTGCAGATCCGCCAGACTTGAAGAGGAGGAATCCGAGGTGGGAATGGGAAACGAAGCTGGCAGATGGGTTTTGATGGATGTGACAATACTGGGTGCGTAGTCCTCGTCCATGAATATGGCTGGGTTCAAAGGATGGTGCCCCGAGCGCCTCCACGCCTCCTGTATCCGCGCCGTGGTGATCGCAATCGTGCGTGCCGCCATGTACTTGGAAATGACGAGCTCTTTGTTTACAGGCTCTCCACGCTGTGCACTCTCCTCGCAAATGCGCTTCCATTCTGCCTGGACCCAATTGAAGATTGCGACATCGAGAGGCTGCAGGCGGTGAGTGGTCTTGGGTGGTAGGCAAAAAATGAGGATTCTGTGTTCGTAGGCAAGTTTGCGGACCCTATGCGTGATATGCGAGCCATGGCCATCGAGGAGAAGTACGATTGGTGCGTCGGAGACTCGTCGCTCGGCAGATGCGGGTATAAAATATTTGATAAACCACTGCTCGCAGATCTCGTCCGACGTCCATCCATTCTCGCTCGCAACAGCACTGTTTAGTCGAGTGAGTCCAATTGAGCAATTTAATTTCTATTTGATTAGAACTAGCGCTCACCAGCCAACTCCTTCGTCCTCCCACCAATGACTGACGTATCCGGGCTGGTGCACGAATGAGGGTTTCAGCACAACTCCATCCCCACTAATACATTCGATCACTGTAACAAGCTCCAGGTTATCGTGCTTGATCTTGTACTGTAGTTTCTGACGCCACTGGAATACATATTTCCGCCTTGAAGTTGAACGCCCACCCCCGAGTTGTAGACCCTTCTCATCCATGTTATATAAGTGTTGGATTGGAATATTGTAGTCATCCATCATCTTTGAAAAGGTCTTGAAATGTGCTGAAACGGTTGGGCGGTTGAATCCCGAAGCGCGTTTGGGGTCAAGCTCGTATGCAAACTTGAATGAAAGTCTCTCTTTATGACGCTCCAGAAATCCTCGGTACCAATGACGCCCAAGAACATGTCCTGGCTTAGCTAACTTTGAAGCCCTTGCCATTAAGTCCTCTTTGGCACATGGCATCCCCATCAGCCCTAAGAAAATGCACCAATCGACTAGTGCTTGCTCCGCAGGAATGGAGACTGCCTGAAGATGAGCTGAACCAATGCGTGCACTAGAATGGAGGCCTCGATAGCGTTTGCTCAAAGTAGGGATTGGTAGACGATACTTCTTGGCTGCTGCACTGATTGAATCGACCTTCTTTGACCTGATCTCTTCGATTGCAAGCTGGATCTTTTCAGCGCGTGATGGCTCCTTTGACTGCTGGACTTTGGGCATCTATACATATAAGCAGATTTGTAGGCTGTTTAAGGAAAGAAAATGCAAAGAAATACCTTGAGCAATACAGAGGGGTGCTGGTACACCACAGACAGTCTCAAGGGCACAATGACGAAGGGGGGCCAGCATTAAAGCTCAATATGCCCAAATTGGTTTAAGCTCAAATTAGTTTGTGACTAGTCACCCACGGAAACAAACCCAGCTGAAACCACATTTTTACTGCTATCCAACATATATCTCACCTGTTTTTGAAGATACTAAGTTCGGATAAATGGTAAAGCATTCATCTTATGTGCTTCTACGTAGGTCTCATTTTTCATGCAGGGTAGTATGATACGCAGTAAGACTCCGAGGCTTTCGGAGTTGTTTCGGATGAGAAATTAGTATCCGAGACCTCACTATATGCGCCAGTACTACACAACAGAACACACAAGTGCCTAACATATTGATGTAAAACTGACTGTTCAGACCGTTTCTACAGCTTGGTATTTATTGCATATTTAATACTAGTGTTGTGGAGGCAAGGTCACCAATTGTTCAAAGGCCGGTCAGCGTTACTATCTGGTCAAAGGCCGGTCAGCGCTTGTAGTATGTTCTGTAGAGCTACTTGTTTCGAGTATGCTAAAACTTAAATCGTAAGAATTCATTCTGATGTCACGTGCGCATTTTCCAATTGCAGTCTTGCGCTCTTCCAGCTGAGCTATCAAGGGATAGAAGATTAAGCGCCGGTGCAGACCGATACTCGCAAGTCTTGGGGTTTCTGAGCATACTACTGTAATTAAAAGCGTTCGTGAACCATGCATCGACTCGCGCAATTGTAGACACCTAATGATTGATGCTAAGGGATGCTTCATTTATGTCTAATTAACTTTACAAGATAGGCAGACATCTTAGTGGAACATGTTCATATAGACTATGAGCTTGTAATCCTGGAAACATTTCATTTTCTGCTTGCACTACAACCAACGCTACATTTCTACATTCGCCCAATGTCTTTTAGCCTACCATCAACCTTGGGAGACACCACAACCAACTCCACTTGTTTGTTAGATAGCTTGGAGTCAGTATTTCCGCACCGAGCGCCTGCGCCATCGAATCGGTCCACATCAGTCATATGTTCGTGTTGGGCAATCCTGAGTGCATCACCGATTTCAGTAATCGAGTGCCCACTAGATGCACGTTGTCGTTCAAAATTGACAATCATTTCAGCAGCTTTAAGCCAACGCTGCTTAGCTTTGGAGATGGTATGCGAGGTTGACGAGGTCAGGAATCGTGGTTGACTGTTGTCTTTTTCCATTTTGAACGTATGTATGTATTGTGAACCTTTGGAAACGTTCAAGCATAGATCATAAAGGATTGCTGTGGACATACCAAGTAGATAACGGCGAACGATGGAGCTCATAATCACACCATTCTCGTCGTCGATCAAGTACGGCTTGCCTTTCAGTGCTTCAAACCCATCGTGCCCGGCAGCCATGTACTCGCGAGTCACGATTCGATAGACGTGGCTGGGATCGCGCGAGAGAGGTTGGCCGTTCTTGCTGTTGACAGAGCCGTCGACCGAAACCTCTTGCTCTGCAAGCCAAACTCCGTTGATTCGGTTTCCGGGTGGAAGTCGAGAGTCCCATTCGACACGGAAACCTGAAATGATTGGGAAACGTCTGTCAAGAAACATGAGTACGAACAACAGGGTCGACTACAAGCGAACTTACCCTTCTTGAGCCGGCCAGGTTGATAAAGCTGATTCGAGGGCATTCCAGATGGTTTCTCCGTCCAACGCTTGCACGACGATAGGGTCCTCAAAGGGAAGGATTTCCAGTAGATCTCCCAAGGTAATGTCGCCTACGCATACACCTCAGTTGCAGTCGATATTTGATATGTTGTGTACGTACCAGGGCCGTACACCGAGTCTCCGCGCAAGGTTCCACCACAAATCAATACACCGTCGGCGATTCCACTACCCTTGACGCAGAGTGCATCGTCATACGCATGACGAAGCACGTCTGCCATCCAGTTCCCAAGCGCAGACTAGAAGATAGTTCATTTGAATAGTTACAGGGGTGTACGCTAGTCACTCACTTCGTCAGTCCGGACCAAGTCGGATTTCGCGTTCCATTCAGTT